AAAAAAAAAAAAAAAAAAAAAAAAAAAAAAGACGAAAATATCACTAAACATACTTTTCTTTCCATTCTGTACAGTGCGCTAAAAATTCTTCATCCGACAGTAGATGACGCCTAATTCTTTTTTTGATCCAAAGCTGTTTCTCAACAACCGCTTGAGTGGCAATACCTGCATGGTCGAATCCACCGTACCAGACGACCTTCAAAAAACGTAAGGAGGTAAAAAACATAGATACTGGCCAATAGAAACAAAATAATATTAAATAATATTACGTCGAAAACAGATTCTCACACAGCAAATATCAAATTTAAGAAATACGAGTAGCTGCACCTTATTTCCGCAAAGTCTTTCATAACGGCATATCGCATCCTCCACAACAGCTGTTAGTGCGTGACCCAAATGGAGCCTTCCGGTGACATTAGGAGGAGGCAATGCCAACCTTAAAAAGTAATTTAGTGGCCTTTTAAAGCATTTAATTTTAAACTGACGGAAATAATGAGGGATTGAAAGAAAGAAGTGAAAAAAAAAAGAGAAGTACAGCAGTGAGGAACAATGTCTAATAATAACAAACAGCCATACTTGAACACTTCACGTTTTTCATCTAATGCAGATATCACCGAATTATTAGGGGACTGAGGATTATAGGATGCGACTACTTCACGAAGATCAAAAGATTTACTGCAACAAGTAAAACTCCAAAAAATAAGCAATGACGCTTCTATAAAGCAGCTCACTGAGTAAATCTTACACAAAAGAATAATTAGAGAATCTCAGTTACAACAAACTCCATTAACTTCGTTATTCATCAGAAAAAAAAAAAAAGGAAAAAGTTACAAATCTCTTTAGCTATCAGAGAGGATACGATGTTAACTTTGGTAAAGCTACAACCTACCTCGGAAGCGACGACACTAGCTTGGCGCCATTGATTCCAAAGAACCATCTTCGTCCAACTATTCCAGTCGAATTTCTCCGCACCACTTCAAACATCCTCCTCGCATGATAAACTAAAGTTTAACAATTCCAAAGTGCTGTGTACCTGACGCCAAGAATCCTAGCAATTTTTGAGCGCTTCTAAGCACATGCCACCGTGCTATCAAGTACAAGCTTTCAATTTGGAATTCCAATTTGCAGACGGCACTGTGCACCACTGCAACAACGGAATTTCAAAAAACACCTATCGGGACGAAATTCGCAGTTAAAAAAAAATACAGTAAAAATTTCATTCGATGAACTGTTATACATATATAATATCCTGAAAGCAAGATGTAAAACACTGATGAACGGCAGGTTGTTGTTATACTCTTTTTTGAAGTTAACTTCTTGATTCGCTGTGGCGGAATGCCCCTGGAGCAAGCAAATTCTACTTCAGTGCTAAGCTTATTACTTCTCT